CCCCCCCCCCCCCCCCCCCGAAGAAGGAACCGAAAAAAGCCCAGCACCCCCCAGAAACTCCCGCTAAAACTCCCAAGCCCTTAGGCACCCGAAAAGCTCTTAACTCTCCCAGCCTCGCCTCGCAGAGAGCACGTGCCGCTTGCCGTCAGCAAAACAGCGCCATGGGGTTTAGGGTTTATAGGGCCCTTCTGGGTGTGATCGGGTGCTTTTTGGGGCTTAGCCCGGAAGGTTTCAGAGCGTGTATGGATGAGGACCCAGTGCTTTCGGCTTCCGAGGCGGCTTTCGAGGCTTCTTGGTCCAGGGCTGGGACGAGGAGGGTTTGGCGACTTGCAGCGTCCTTTGCGGCTTTTAAGGTTCGGGGTTCAGGGTTCATCGAAGAGCAGCTCCTCCGGGCACAGCCTGACTTCACTGAAGCGCCTGGCGGGCTGAACATGCTTCCCGGCCCTGATGCCCACCTGGAGCGCAAAGCTTCTCACAGTCTGCTTCCGTTATCCCGCGAAACCCCCGAATTTCCCAGAGTCTGCAGGTGTCCGATTTGGGTCGTCCAAGCCCCGGGCGCTGAAGCCACAACCCTGAACCCCTAGACCTGCAACCCAAAACCTACATTTTTGAGAAGAATGGGGACATCGCAGCCTTGCTGCGGCTCAAGATCCGTCAGCCAATGTAGACATGAGGGCCCCTGCCTCAGTTTGGAGCTGCGCTTCCGGCTTCGGGGAGCTTTGTGGTTTGGGGGCGGGTCAGGGTTCACGTTTCCGGCTTCTTTTAGGGCCTGGAAATCGCTCGGTTCCTTACAAGGGGTTTGACAGGAACTCGTCGACGTCCCAAAAAATGCAGAGCCGCATATGGGGAGTTTTGGCACATCGGGTCCCGTTTCCGGCCTCCGAGGACGAGGAGATACGGCAGTGTCGACAAGAAGGATCCCAAAAAGAAAGCCTTAATCACCCCTTGAATCCCCCTCCGCCCTCTTTCCCTAGCAGTTCAAGAAAGACATCTTTTCAGAAGGATTCCGAAGCAAACCCTGCCTTCCCACCACACCTCCATTGGAAACAGGCCTCAACACCCCGAGCTCTCAAATACCTGCAACATGTACACCTGAAGCCCAAAGTTCACCCTCGACCTCTCAACCCGTGGAACTTCGATTCCCAAGACAACCCCTCAGCCCCCTCCCTACTCCCTAAAACGCCCTGAAGCGTCGGCATCCGGCATATACTCCCCAAAACCCTAAAACGCCCAAACTAACGAACGCCCCAAAAATGCCGAAGAACTCCGGGAGTTTGCGGAGCCTCTGAGGCCGTTTCTCAGCTCGTCGTTCTGGCGCTCGTCGCCTCGCCTTGCGATGGCGCCGTCGTGGGCCAGGGGGCCCAAGGGGAGGGTTTGGGATGGTTTGGGTTTTTAGGGTTTGGGGTTCGAGGATTGAGGGTGATTGGGAGGGTTTAGGTTTTCCGTTTGGGGTTATTCAAAAGTTTGAAGGGTCGCTTCTGGGTTGAGTTGTGGGGTTTTCTGGGCAGTTCGGCTTGTACGACGGTTGGGGCTGCAGCTGCGTCGCTTGATTTTCGATCTGGGGTCCTTGGATTTACTCCGCCCCCGGGAGTCCTACGCATCTCCAGCCCTGAAGCCCTGAATCCCAAACGACCCTTTAGCCGAAACTCCACTGTAAAACTCTTGGAACAGTGCAAAACTCTTAAGAAGATGGTGTGTTGCATCCCAAGAACGCCCCGATCAATGGCAAGAAGAGCAGCACCCCTACGCCCTAAACCCGAGAAAACCCTAAACACCCTCAACCCTAAACCCGAAAAACCCTAAACCCTAAACCTCCCCAAAGCCCGAAAGCCCCCCTGAACCCACGGCCAGCTGCGCTCTCCTCTGCTCAGGGGGCCGCGGTCCGGC